ATGCTGGGATTATCCTTTATCCCAGGGATACATTAATAGACAAAATGCAAGAGGTCATGCAAAATGTGACAGGCTGACCTAAGAGAGCAGTACATTAAAATGGAGAGAGTCAGTTAATGAAAATATTTAGTAGATCGAACTGTTAGATTATGGTGAGGATGTGAGAGAAAAGTTAGGATGATTCCTAGGATTCTACACTGGGTGATCATTCATATGATTGCATGACCATTCGCATGGTGGTATAATTTTTAATGACAGAGGGCCACACAAGGTCAGGAATAGACAATCAGCACAGTTTAACATATACTGATCTTGAAATATGTGCAATATGTGCACACTGACTCTAGGTGGACATACCCAGGAGGCAACTGACAATATAATTTCAATGTGTGGTAAGAACTCTGAATTAGAGGTGTACATTTGGGAGTAGTAACTGTAAAGATGTACAAGCATACCTTAGAGATATTGAGAATTTAATTCCCAATGACTTTAATAAGGTGAGTATTGCAATAAAGCAAGTTGTAATCTCTTGCTGGTGGAGGGTCTTCCCTTCAATTTGTGAAAAATGCAACGTCTGCAAAGTGCAATAAGGCAGAACACAATCAAATGAGGTATGCCTATAGTTAAAATTTGTGTATCTGGCTGTCTAAGACTCAAAGAGTGTGTTTGGAACCAATATGAAAAAATATGAGAGGCTCAAAAAGGAAAAGAGGTCTATTATGGCCTTCATGCTGCCAAATATCTTCCCACTAAGCAGTCCGTGTCTGATATTGCCATTTTTGTGATTTATTCCTTTAGGTTAAGGTTGTATCTCTAAGTAATTGCTTCTTAAAAATACCTTTGGGACAAATTAAATAGACAACAGAGTAGTTTAATGAAGAGAAAAAAACTGAGCTAGGTATCCAGAGATCAATTTCTACCACTGACTTAGCCGTTGACTACCAGCATGGTGTTCAGCAAGTCACCTTGCCTTAGGTTCCTCCTGTGCAAAATGAGGAAGTAAGACCAGGTGACCTTCAATGTTTGGTAGACTGCAATTCAACCAATAATATTGTGTTACTGTACTTTAGTTCAGTGATTTTTCAAATATACTTAGCAGCAGTTAGCGCTCTTTGAAAGAACTTTCATGCAGAAACAATGTGTTAGGATATGTTGGTTGCTGAGGTCTAACCCAAGTTAGTTTACATGTAGAAGAAAATTCACTGGTTAATATATACTATGTGAAACAGTGCAGCTGGACCCCATGGATGGTTGAAACCTGAGATTGGTGCATCACCAGGACTTGCTCTCTACATTTGTCACCTCTGTGTGACAGCTTCATTCTACACAAGGTAGTATGTGGCCACTGGCCAGTCTCAAGACTTCCTTTTTCCTTCCTTCTTATCTCAGACTACCATGATGATGGAATAGCCTTTCCCTCCCTTTTCCCTGAAAATATTCTGGGAATACTTGCTTCAGCTTGAGTCATATTGCCCACCCTATAGCCAAGAAGTTGAGGGACTCTCATGAGCTGTAGTTGGCACTAGAATCACATGTTTATAGTACAGGCAGAAATAGTTTCCCCAAAGAAAAGGAGTATTGTTCACAGAAAAATGAAAGTTACCAGACAGACAGATGGTCAATATGTAAAACAGCTAAAACAGAAGCTTTTCACCTGAGGTCCCACCTAAATGGTCCCCTTTGAGTATCCTAGGTGGCTTCTGAAGCATACCTTTGAAGATCCCACAAGGATCCTTGGAATATAGCATTAAAGTAATGGATTCTATTGATTGGTTAGCATGGCAGGTACCTGCAAGTCCTTGACAAATGAAAGCACTAGTTATTTACTGAGGGTAGGTGTGTGTTTACCTAGTAGAAAATTCCTGGAATACAGGGAAATACTACAAACAGTGGTTCTGATGTTAATGGAGTTGGGGTGGACATTCTGAATATTCAGGGATCAAGAGGATTGAGACAGAGAGTGTAGAAAGAGTAGGCAGGAGGGCATCAAGATGAACTTTGCCTATGATTCTCAATCTCCTTTTATCTAAGGCTACCATATCATATAGCACCCTACTAATAACGGGGGAAAATGTTCTTATTTAGGTAAGATAGTGGGATGGCCCTTGCTGTCATCAGCAGTCATTCTAGAGAAAGGAACAAAGGGTAAGCTGATGGAAAGAGAGTTGATGGACCTAGAAAAGGACAGAGGCAATGAGTGAAGCCACTTTTCCTGGACAAATATACCCATGGTAGGTGGTACCTCAAAAATACTAGAAATAAAGTAATGGGGACATAGGGAGAGAGAGAGAAAGAGGACTAAGATGAGTAAAATATGAGAAGATAAAGAGGAGTGTAGTTAAGTAAAACATAGAATATATAGCCCTGTCAGAAGTCTAGGACATTAAAATTCAAGATCATTTTGATTAATACTTGCTTAAAAGTTGTACTAATGAAAGTTATGTAAATTACATTTAATTATTTTACCAGTTATACCTTACCGAATAATTTAAATGTGATTATTTTTTTGGAAAAGTTATATAGCTACTAATATAAAAATGTATATTGACATCAGTAAAATCAAATTTAATTCTTTATCAAATAGTAATAATGTTCTTAAAATTTTTTTAAATCCTTGCTTTTTGAGCAAGTTTTTCAAAGGAATTTCAGAAAACAGACAAAAGAACATAATTACAAGGGATATTAGAGATCCAGCTACCTGTGCTACCCATAGGAAAAACATGAAGAGATTGGATTTACTCAGATCAAATATTAATTGCTAATTTGGAAAAGACACAGGTCATTAGAACATGAAGTACTTTTTTATAATTCATTAGGAATAAACCAATTTTGTAATAATAAAAATAAACATAACTGTTGCTTCAGAAAAAACTGCATCTACACAGCAGTGCTATTAAACCAGTTTGATCAAAAGGTCTTACCTAAGCCAGAAGTTTTCACTTGTATAAATCGCTTATTTAAAGATATTTTCTTACTGTGTTCTTACTTTTAATCTTTTAATTTTTATTAAAAATTGCTACTACCTGACAAACATGGGAAATTCCGATGAAATATGAAAAGCAGGTTAAAATGTTGTTGTAAACATTGATCTATAAAATTGCATTTTAAAATGGCTTAAGTGTTACTCTTCAGTTAGAACATCTTTTGAATTGGACTCTTAGAGGAGAGAGGTTTTTGTTTTTACCTCAGTGAAGGGTTCTCAGTATTTTCATAGCACCAAAAAACTATTTGAAATTATTATTTCTCAATTCTCAATCTCATTGCAAATAAGTAAAACAAAAATCTATTTTTGGATTATATAATATGTAAAAGTATTGCTTTCCTTTTGTTTTTAGTGAGTCAATTCATTTGCTGTGTATTGCATAGAGAACATCCCTGAGATTAACTTTAACCTGCATTCAATTGACCTTTTTATAATAAAATCCTCTATGCTTAACTCTGAATGTCACAATTACAATTATTCGATGCATTGTGACTCAGTATTTAAAACTTAAAGGCCAACAATGAACATCCCCTATATAAATCGGAGCTTCAGGACCAGCAAACCTCACCATTTAATTAGTCATTCTTTAACATCCACAAAGGCTCTCCCTTTCTCCCCTCTTTCCTCACTACTGCAAGTCTGCCTGTGAACATTGCAGGTATTGCTCAAGTGAAAATGCCAGTGCTATCAGCCTTATCCTCCTGGGCATTGTTGTGACTATTAATTTTGTGTTACTTTTCATACTTTCAATTCTGGTTTGTCCTGTGAGAATTTCCTGTTTATGTGTCTGCTTCCCCTATGACTGTGAGCTACTGAAGAATAGGGACTACTTATGCTTATCTTTGTATCTCTGATGCTAAACACAAAGTCTGGAGCATAATACAGCCTCCATAAAAGTCTGTTGTATATGAATGAATAGCCAGGAATCTATATAGCTGTATTAGAAGAAGCTTAAATCTGTGAGAATACCCCATCATCTGATATTCATTTCCCTCTTTTTTTCAACATTTGGTAGTAGTTCTCCTTGAGAAACAGTGTTTGTGTGCCAAGAAGAAATGCTGTGGCAAGATGCTATTGAGGCAGGTTTACTATTCTAGGTTCCTGAAGTGACTTGTTTGGCCTTGTTGCTTACAAAGCCTATGATAATTATTCATTATATGTCAGCTTAAACTCAAGATGGTTGAGAACGAATGGGACTTTTTCCAAGTTTAAGATCATTTTGTTGCCTGTTACAGAAGCTAGTATGGGAGTGGTGTTGCTAGGGAGAGAAATAGAAACTTAGCACAGGTGGAAAACAAAACAGCCTGAGGTCTGCTAAGCCGTTAAGGGGCTTCTTTGCTCATTCACTCACACTTCCTGGTAACAAAGATGAAAGTGGTGAAATTGTTCTTCTGCAATGATGGACTCTTTTAATAGCTGATCATTTTTGGCTAAATGGTGATTTGCATTTTTACCGCACCATTTTCCCCAGGAGTTTAAATTGAGATTTTTTGATTCAATAATAGGGCCTAAGATTAACTGCAACCAACACAACGTGCTTAGTATGCTAAACACCCCTCTAGGAAAAAAACTCTGAACATTGCTAATATGCCCGTGACCAGCACTGGTAAGTACACAAGCCTGGAGCATGCATTGAGAAACAGATTGTGCAAAATTGCAACAGCAGTATTCTGTCTCTAGAGCTGGCATGATTTGTTTTTTTGGGCTGCTGGTTGCAACAGCTGAATGGAAATGACCCACAAAAACAAAATTAAGCTCCAGAAACTTAAAACGTCAAGGCCACATTCATCAAGTAAACACTAATATTTCTAGTTTACATTTTGATGTTTTCATTCTGCAGCCAAAGAGACGTGATTATATCGCGAGATGGGAGAATGACAAAATAAATAGGACGTGATTATCGCAGAGCGTCACAGGTTCTTTTATTTACCTTTCGCTTTACAACCTACAGACGTTACACATTTAAAAAACCCACTGAAGATGTCAGGAAACACTTCTTTCGCTCACTTCACCTCACCTGGCATCTCAGTCACCCAGACCAACGTTCAGCTTCTGTCAGCTTCTGGCGAACGCGCAGTAAACAGCGCCGAGTCCACGCAAGAACACGGGGAAGGCGGCTCGTCAGTTTCTTTCTCCCCGCACCATACACTTGTGGATGTGGGTTTTTTAACACGCTACCAGCCTTCCCAGCTCCGCTCGACACTCGAGCAAAGAAAAGTGTAAGAAAACAGTAAGAGTAAAGCAGAAAATAGTAAGGACCCGAGGCCGGCGCAAGCGCACAGTACCAAATTCGGCGCCCAGGGGGCGTGGCCGAGGCGGGGCGATGGAGCTCCGCCTTCTTCCCCTCACCCCACCCCTCCGCTCAGGGGAGTGACTGACTCCCGCCAGGCCCTCCACGTCAATCAACCCTTCTTCTCTCACTCCCTGCACCTTGTTATTAATCTCAATACGGATATCGCGCGGACGCCTCTCCCCCGGCCCTCGGGGGTGTGAACGTGTGTGAGAGCAAAGGCACCGAAAGCTGGCGTTTCTGTGTAGCAGCCTCGGCCCCGGCAGGAGCAAGCGCAGCAGCAACCCCCGCAGCGGCGGCAGCCTCAGCGCCAGGAGGCCAAGGCCAAGGCCAGGCTTTGCGCGGCTCTCGTAGTAGTAGCCGCGGCTCCGGCGGCTGCGGGGGCGCAGCTTCCTCCGACGGGGACCTTCTCCTCGGCAGCCGCGGGACCTCTCCTGCGCGCCCAGGGTCACGGTCCCCGAAGCCCGGCAGCGCGGCCCTCGTCCCTTCCCCGCCCCCGTCCGTCTCCTTCTAGCTCCCTTCAGCAGTCCTCCTCACCGCTGCCTCTGCCGTTCTTCAGGCGGCTCGGCCCGGCCAGCCCGCCCCGCGTCCCCTCCGGCCGGTGCCTCTTTCCCCCGGCGGGCTGCCTGCATGTCTTTGCTGCCCTCAGCCCCGCCGCCACCGCCGCCACCGCCTCCCCCGCCGCCGCAGCACCAGCACCAGCCGCCCCGCCGCCGCCGCCGCCGTCGCCGCCCGGACCCCGGCGCGCTGAATGCAGGTGAGGAGAGGGCGCGGGCCCTCCGGGCCCCCGGGCCCCCGAGCTCTGCGCTCGGGCCAGCCCGGGTCCGGACCCTGCCGGCCGCGGCGGCTGCCCTTCGGGAGGGGCGGGAGGGAGCGCGGCCCGCCCGTGGGTGTTTGTGTTTGCGTCTGCGGCCGCGGCCCCGGAGGGGAAGCATCTGTGGGGGCCTGGTGCGCGCGCGCGCGCGTGTTTGTGTGTGTTTCCCCTGCCGCGGGGAAATGGCTGCTGTTGCTCCTCCTGGGCCAGAAGAAGAGAATGAGGTAGAGTGTTTTCGTACCTCCGGGTAGGGTCGAGAGTGTTGGGAAGAGGAGCTCGTCCCCGGGGAGATGGGGTGGGAGAAGGACTAACGTGTGTGTGGGTTGCGAGTTGGGACTTTGGCGGGCGGGGAGGCGGCGGTGAGGAGCCGACAGCTAGTGGGTGTGTGTCGGGTGCGGGGCCGGCCCGCGTCTCCGTCGGAGGTTCCGGGTGTGGGTGTTGGGGGTGAGGGGGTTTTTAGCTCGGGGCTCGGGACTCTGGGGATCCGTGTGGCCGGGACCCTCAAGTAGCGTGTCCCTCCCCTTTTGTGGCCGGGACTCCGGAGCCTGGCAGCTGAGAGCTGCCCCGCGGGATCCGGGTCCGGGCGGGTGAGCGTGTGTGCCGCACACTCCTAGCAGCCGGGCCCGGAGAGCTGCGTTTCGGGGCCGCGCCTCCGTCCTCGCGGCCGCGGCAGGAAGCGCGCCGGCCTGCGGCGCGGCCTAACCGCCTCAGCGCCCGCCCTCCCGCCGGCCTGCCCGCCTGCCTCCCGGGACGCCAGGCCGCGCGGGCCCGAGGCGCTGTCTCCGGCCTGGGCAGGTGAGGTCGGAGGCGGGAGGTGCTGATAGACGTCGCCTCCGCCGCCTCCGCGTCCCGTGAGGAGAGGCGAAGGCACATTTTGACGTCGAAACTGCAGGCTCCCCCCCCCCCCGCCCAGCCTACCCGGCGGTGGGACCTGAGGGAAAGTGAATCAGAGCAGTAAATCTCTGGAATTCGCGGTGTCGAGATCCCCTTTCCTGCTTTTCTAAGGGTTGTGTGGTGGAACTAAGTGCATATTTTCATTTTTATTTGCAAATACTTTGTGGTTGGTAGTATATATGCATTTTTTTTTAAGATAAAGATTTTCTTAGAGGGGCGAGGGAAGAAATGGAAGCTGGCCTCCCAGTCCCGTGGTGTCGGTGAGATTGGATCGATTTTGTGCATTTGAAATTGTTTTATCCTGCCTCCTAGGGGGAAAGGCGTGTACTCGCCGAGTTTAGGCCTGTGAGCAAGGGGAAGTTCCTGGAGCTGTCATCCTCCTCAACTCCACCAACTACTTAGCTGAGGCTCTTCAGATGGATTTGTGTGCTGGCAGTTTAGCTGAGCTGTTTGTACACGTTGGAAACACAGCACTACCTTTTAGGAGATACTACCTTGTTACCTCTAGTTATCTTAATTGCCAGTCCAGATAGTTGTGCACAAACACACTTTCCTTCAGTCTTCAAAACCTAGATCAAGCAGCCTCTATTGTCCACTTAGAGTACCCCTGAAAAGCTATTTTGAGAGTAGTCTTAAGTAAAACGCAACTCTAAAGAGAAATCTGTCAATAGGGAACAATGCATTTCAGAATTAAATATAATTGGTATTTGGCTAATTATTTGCTGATTTCCTTTTTCTACAACACCCTCTTTCTATTTGCATCTAGTTTAGCTCATCTATCTAAAACCCTCCGGGTAAAGTCATGGTGTAGATTCGACCCTTGCAGGCCGTGCTCTCTGTATAATAGCCAGAGATTGGTCCTTTCTGAATCCAGTCTCACAAACAAATGTTCCATGCTGTTCACTACGAAGTGGGTGGGGTAAGAATGAGTGTCATGGGGAGGGGGCGGTGGAGAGCTGTTTTCTGTGACCACTACTGGAAAACAACACACAGTTAAATGGAACAACGATTTGTTTTACAGACCTCAGAACTCTGCCTGCGCCATTTTTCCTAGCTATTTCACCTTAGGCAAGGTACTTAATGTCTATAAGCCTCTGTTTTCTCATCTGCAAGAAGGATAATACACTTAAAGTTGTCTGAGGATAGAATGAGGAAACATGTTTGGCATGTAGTAAGTAGATGCTTAGATAAATATTAGTTCCTCCTGCAGATCTGATTGGGCATTGAAAAACATAAGTACAAATACTCATTTAATTACTGAGAGCAACACCAGTGTATCTAAGTTAAAAATCAAAGCAATAGAACATTTCACAGTCCTTTGATATACGTAAGGTATATGTAAACAACTTTTAAAAATGTATTTTTAGAACTTTTTTTAGAAATAAGACTGTCATTGAAATACCTAGTGTACTAGTTTATAAAGACTAGTCATGCTTAATACTTTTTCATATTTTCGAATAGGCCATCTCTCAGCTTCGTTATTCTTTTTATGAGTTCTTGTTATGTAGTACTGGAAAAAATAAAGCCATATGTATCACATACATGTTCCAAGGCAGTCAAGCATTAAAAGGTATCAAAGAACTAGAGTTTACTTTATATAGGTCTACAAAGTATAAGTGCCACAAAAATTTCTGTGTCATTTGTTTAGTTTATGTTGACTGGTTCTGGTAAACAAAACCTCATGGAATATTTTCCTGAATGGAAGCAAAATATCTTCTATCAACTTTGAATAATTTTCCACTTTTATTACTCTGTGTGGAGTAGTACAATAAATTGCTGTCCACTTAATTTTAATTGTGGAAAAAACAATGACACGGAGTTAAAGAAAAAGGCAACACAGGTTAAGTAAATGATTTTATTTATTTTAGTGAAGGCAAGGTGAAGAGAATATGGGAGAAGTTTTATTGGTTTAAGTTTGCAATATCTTTATTTACTAATGCCAAGTTTCCCAGTTATGCTTCATATCATTATTATTTATATCAGCAATGTTGAGCTTTTAAAAAAAATCAGTAAAGCATTAATATTTCAACAAATTTGTGAAGGATTTTTGGGAAGGATGATAGGGGCAACATAATTAGAATGTAAAATGCCATGGTGTTGTTAAAAGTGAGTGTATTATAGGTATGTGTACATTTACAACAAATAAAATTATCTGCTACATAGTTACATGTAAAGGAAGAATTCTTACCTTAAACATTATAAATAATAATTCTTTTTTTTTAAAGATTTTATTTATTTATTTTTAGAGAGGGAAGGGTGGGAGAAAGAGAGAGAGAGAAACATCAATGTGCGGTTGCTGCAGCCATGGCCCGCAACCCAGGCATGTGCCCTGACTGGGAATCGAACCTGTGACACTTTGGTTCACAGCCTGCACTCCATCCACTGAGCTACGCCAGCCAGGGCTTTATAAATAATAATTCTTAAAAAGATTTTATTTATTTATTTTTAGACAGAGGGGAAGGGAGGGAGAAAGAGAGGGACAGAAACATCACTGTGTGGTTGCCTCTCACATGGCCCCAACTGGGGACCGACCCACAACCCAGGCATGTGCCCTGACCCAGAATGGAACTGGCAACTCCTTGGTTCTCAGGCCAGCACTAAATCCACTGAACCACACCAGCCAGAGGTATAAGTGATCGTTTTTGATACTTTAAAAATAAAAAATAAAGTTTACTGTTAACTAGGTATTTGGTAGTTTTCACTAATATTTTAAAACACTTCATACTTTTTTAATTTGGGAAAGTTGAGGAAAAATTTCTCTGAAATATGAATACAGATGATACTGAACTAATATATTAAGATATGTGGATAACAAAAAATTATTAACAGTGGAACTGCTTACGCTATCATTGTTGAAATTGAAGGAATTATGTTACATCAAAATCAAAGTGGCAAATTATTTAGATTTTAAAATGTAATGTTACTTAAATGGGCTTTTAAACAATCTTATCAAAATATCACTTATAAATGTCTTTAACTAGAGGGAATTGAAATACATAAGAATTTGTGCATGTATTACTTTGGGTAATGCTAATTAGGGTAATAAATACACTCCAGAATTTCAGCAGCTTAACACATACATGTTTACATTTTGCTCACATAACAGTCCAGCGCAGGTGTGCCTAGTTAGCAGGCTTGTGGCTTTCCTGAATGTGGTAATTGAGGGACCCAGGCTCCTTATATCTTACAGCTCCACTATTCCCTAAGGCCTCTGAGCCCTGCCATTACCCACAGACCATTTCTTAAGAACCCTCAGACTTGAAGTGACAAACATTGGCCCACATTTCATTGCTGAGAATTTGTCAGAGTCTTATTTGACTGCAAGGGGAATGGGAATGTAGTCTCTAGAGAGTGGACAGCTTGGGGCTTTTGACGATGTTATTTTAGATGATAGTATATATTTTTGAAAATATGTCTAAAAATGAATTATAATACTTAAAAATTGCTTTCCATCTTCAAAGAGTAAAATTGTGGGGAGGGGAAAGAAAAGAGTAGAGCCAAAGGAGGAAGAGGACGGAACAGGAGCTTTCTTCTATAAGTTTGAATGATAAGTGAATTTCAGCTATTTTAAGATAGAAATAGCTGAGAGAATATAATTAAATTGTATAACCTTTAATGAGTTTCTTCTTTACTATCCAGTTATTGATTGCCATCGTGATGTACTGGTTTCTGGCTGATTGAGTTGTTTCTCTCTGTACTTTGAAATCAGTTGACTTTGAGTTTTAGTTTCTGTGGTACAGTTTCATGGGAAACACATTTTTGAATTTTCTTTTGCTGTTGAGATAGAACATTATAATTATTTATACTTGAAGAAATATCTCTTAGGTGGACCTTACTATGTTTGTTTGCTGTGTTTGTAATTCTAAAGTCATTGTAGATTAAGATATGTGAGCCTTAACCCAGAAAGAACAACAAAATCATCAAGTAAACAACAAAGGCTTAATTATTAACTTGTGCTAGTGTTTCACAATGAAAATACTACAACTTTCTTAAACTGTACTAACATTGAACCTCTCGTACATTAAATGTATTTTATTTCTGGACAATGT